GTGGGTAATTGCTATGTCCCTCTGAGCCGTCGTCTCTTGTAAGTCATCTCCATTTGTCTGACTTTGCAATGCAGGCAGGTTTTGTCCCTTCCTACTCACTCTGCTCATCAGTGAGAAAAATAGCGCCCGTGGAGGCAACATTAAGCCCATTTCCCGAGATTTATCCGAAAGCACTTTTGCCACAGATCGTGATAGCATTTTTATGTTTATTGTGGGCGTCATTAGCAGAGCAAATTTAAGGTGCGACGTGACTGGTAACAATTGGCTTCCCCTTTCCAGTCAAAAAATGGCACTATTAACAGACTCCAGCGCAGCCTGCAAAATTGATGCATTGCCCAGAGAATTTCTAAGCTTCTGAACAAAGTGGGAAAGTTTACAGCTTGTAAATTCTCCCTTTGTGTATGTCTTTGGGTTTGTTTGTTTTTTTAAAGCGGCAGTGTGACAATCTTGGAGTTGCATTGTTTGAAAGGTTCGAGCTTCGAGGGTGGTAAACATAGACATCCAGGAATTTGGACAGTTGGTTTTATACAGAAATATTTTTCCCCAAATATGATTTTTCTTTTAAAAAAATCAGCTGGGTTAAAAATGCCGTTCTTAATTCAGATGCCCTAGGTTAATTGGAGAATAATGCAACTAGTTAATTACTTTGAAGGATCAGTGCACAGATCACTGTATATAGTTGAAGGTTCTATCTTATGTTCTTCAAAACATTAACATGATTAATAAACGGGTGCTTCCTATTATGGACGTAATCCCTTACCCATTCTAATCTGTGAGTCCGTGGTTGCCTGGGGAGTTAGTTCCATTAGCAACATTAGCCATAACCTGTTCCTCCATTTCTTAATTTGTTTCATTTTATTTGGTTTGGTTTGATACTTGCGTATTTAGAGACCAATTCCCAGTCCACGTCAACAATATTGGATTCTTCTATGTCAATAAAATATGACTCCGTATAGATTCTGGAAAGAATGGGTAGAGAAGTAGAGAAAGAAACTATTAGGAGAACAAGGTGCAGGTGGCGCTGCCTACACCTGAGGAGAGGGGTGCCGTTCCATGGATCAGCACAAGATCTCCCCACTCAAAGGTTTGGCCATTGTCCTCTTCAGTTTCAATATGTCTGAGGTAGTGCTCGGTGACAGAACCTTCCGTCCATAATACTGCTTTGTGCAGATTCGCTCCCTGTAGACCAGTAGTTCCCAACCCTTGGGTCTCCAGATGTTCTTGGCTAAAACTCCCAGAAGCTGTCGCCACGAGCTGTGCTGGGAGTCGTAGTCCACAGACAGCTGAGAACCCGAGGTCGGGGACCCCTGATGTAGAAGGCAGGGTGGCTGCAGAGTGTGGAGAGAGCCACCATCTCTGAACTTAACACTGGTAGTCTTTGCATGGAAAATTCTACATTCAGTTCCTGACATGTCAAGCAAAATGGGGAATGGACAAAGTGTGATTGATGCTCCCAAAGCGCCGCCCAGTTTTATGTGTGGTTTTCAAAATCTACCACCTAGCGCTCCAAATTCTGCCGGCCAAATTGTAGATTTTTTTTTTCTCCATATTTTTCAAAGTGGTATAGCCTGGTGTGGGTCAGGGAAGGAAGGAAGCATTCCTCAGGCCCTCCAGAGTTGTTACAGGCTAACACCTTGCCAGGCTAAGACAGCCTGAAGCTTTGGAATAGGGTCAGGACATAGAAGGACATACCTGTTTAGATGGTTATGTGGTCCACGTCCTCAGAAGACAGCTTCTGCGCCCCTCCACACCCAACTGCATGTCTTTGCCCTTGTAAACTGTATGAGTTTTTGATTAATTGCTACCAAGGTGCATGGGAACGACAAAAGCAAAAGGAAGACAGGACCATAAAAATCTTAATTTCTAGAATCGGGAGGCAGGGGAATAAGGGAGGGTGGATGTGAGCAAATGCTTGATTTTGGGAGGAGACAACGAACAACCTCAAAGCTGTGTTTTGCGTCCTGGAATATTGCTGGGGTGGGCTGGAGCCTGTGTTTTGAAGGCTGCTTTTGCCCTTAACGGAGGCGATGTTGCAAATCCTGCTTTGTGCCCCTCCAAACAAGAGCTTTTTAAAAAAATGCTCATAGTTCTTTGTCTTTGCTCTTATCCAGAATTAAGCCTTTGGTTTGAAGTGCTCGTTTTTTTTGTTTTGTTTTGTTTTTCTTTTGTGTGTATGTGTGTTTTTTCTCCCCTTCTCTCCCCTCCTCTACCCTATTTTGTTTCGTTGTGTTTTTTTTCCCCCGTCTGGCTTGCCAGGGCCTGGGAGGAGTTTCATGGCCTGGTGAACAGCAGCAGCCGCTGAACTGAACGCTCTCCCTTCCTCTCTCACACACCCAGGGTAGGGCCTCATCTTTCTTCTTACATGATTGTGTGATGACACACCTCTCAGCTGGAGCATGTCCCCCCCCCCCATGCACATTCACAGAGAGACACAAACTCAGGTCTGCTATTGGGCAAATGGGCAACTTGGCTAACCATGTTATCTCCTGAGCCTTGGTAAATGACTCCATGGATGGATTAAGTAGAAGTATTTTAAAACTGCCCTTCATCCTTGCAAATACAAAGGCATCATGCAACACATAGGACCAAGCCAAGTTACTCTGCAGCCATGTGTTGTATTGCGATTCTCAATACTTCTACACAGCATCCTTGCAGGAAATGCAGAACAGTTTTCCTGGTTCCACTTGCCCTCCTCCCAAATACTAGTCTCAACCAACAAAGCAAAGTGTGACCTTCTAAGTATTGTTAGACTGCAACTCCTGTCAACCTAAGCCAGTGGTTAATAATAGTGATGGTGACAATAAAAGTAATGATGCCATGCCACCAGCTCTGCGAAATTATGAGCATAATACACCAAACATAGCAGTAACAGAACAAAGAAATGCCTGGATAATTCACGTTGCAATTCCAGGGGATGCCAGAGTTGAAGATAATGAGTTAGAAAAATTAACAAAATACAGAGGCCTGGCAATAGAAATAACTGGCTTGTGGGTGGAACATATTTCAGTGGTCCTCGTAGTCATCAGGGCATTGAGAACAATGGCATGAGATTTTATTTATTGTTGTCTAGTCCTTAAGTTGTGTCCAACTCTTTGTGACCCCATGGACCAGAGCGCGCCAGGCCCTCCTGTCTTCCATTGCCTCCCAGAATTGGGTCAAATTCATGTTGGGAGCTTCGATGACACTGTCTATCCATCTCGTCCTCTGTCGTCCCCTTCTCATCTTGCCTTCACACATTCCCAACATCAGGGTCTTTCCCAGCATCGGGGAGTCTTCTCTTCTCATGAGATGAACAAAGTATTGGAGCCTCAGCTTCAGGATCTGTCCTTCCAGTGAGCACTTCGGGCTGATTTCCTTCAAAATGGATAGGTCTGTTCTCCTTGCACTCCAGGGGACTCTCAAGAGTCCCCTCCAGCACCACAATTCAAAAGCATCAATTCTTTGGTGGTCAGCCTTCTTTATGGTCCAGCACTCACTTCCATACATGATAGCTTACTAACTAATAAATAATTTTGTCCAACTCTGGTTCCATACAGAGGTGCAGGGGATGAGAGCAAAGAAAAAAGAAAAGAGAAAGAGAGAAAATCCCAAAGCCGGAAATGTGCGCTCATAGTCCAAGGGGCCAACAAAAGTCTGAGGCTTGTGGACTGAGTCCTCAAACGAGGAATATGCCATCCACCAACTCGGCTAAATCATTAGGACTGGAATTGCAGGGGTTGCAGTCCAACCACGTACGGAGGGCCACCATCTTGTCTGCCCCGATCCTTTCATTCAGTCCGTCCACCCACCACGAAAAATTACTTTAGTGAATTTGCCAGGCATCCATCCTTAACTTCATGAGGCTGAGCCAAATTCTCAGCAGCTCATATCAGGTCAAGTGAGTTATCTGCCGGTTTTGAAGTGAGAAAGCATAGCCTGTTTACAGAGGCCCTGCGACCAAAGGGGGAGGTCTTGTGAAGCTGAGAGGTGTGTCTTCAGCTTGCTTGTGTTGTGTGGATGTATGTTGTTAGAGGGGGAGCAGAGCCAGGCCACACTCGTACAGATTCATGACGTGCCCTCAGCCAGCACAACCTAAGAAGCCAAGCACAGTCCGTCAGCCACTGTTCTTGTCTGCTGAAACGGGATGCATATTGAGGGAAGGACCAGGGGTTACCATGCATGGGGCAGACACATTACATGGCGGACAGCCTGCATTCGGCTTAGTTTGGCTGACCTGCATGGTGCACGGTCACGATACGGTTGTGTGAAACTGGCCTGTCTGCAGAACTGAGGCTTCGTGGAAACGGAAGGAGAGAAGGAGTGGGATTGTCCTTGAGGACCAGCACAGACCGAGACCTCAGCTTCTGGTTGGCTTGATGGAACTGCTTGCTGTAGAAGTTCTAGAGACGGGGTTGTTTTGTGTGTTGTGTTCATGGTCATCGCTGCTTTTGAGAACAGAGGATTGTAGAGTTGGAAGGGTCCAAAAGATGAGCTAGTCCAGCCCCAATTGCTAGGACAGGCGCCCATGGCTAACACTTCCCCATTAGATTCAGCCTCTGTTTAAAAATCATCAACGGAAGACAGTCTACAGCCACCAAAGTAGTCAGTTCCCACTGTTGAACGCTTTTAACCTTTAGGGAAATGCTTTCTCATGTTTAGTCTGAGTCCCTTTTTTGTAATCTGATTCCACTGGTTTCGGGCCCTTACCCTCAGGAGCAGGAGAAAGCAAGCTTGCTCTTATGTTTCACATGGTAGCCCTTCAGATACTTGGTGATGGATATCGTATGGCCTCTAAGCCTTGAAATCTGGGCACTGGACTAGAGTGTGGTTCAGTCTCTTGGCTCCTGTTCTCATTTTTGTACGAATATATTGCCCTGGCATCACATTGCAGGATGAGGTTTTGCAAAACCGAGAGAGGCCTGAGGGCGAGCTTTCCAGCTCTTACCCAGCATCTGCATCCATGGCTGAGTCCCTGCCTCTTTTGGCCATCCTAGGTTTCAGTGACTGTTGTTTCCTGTACTCGGCCCATGTCCAAGAGAAAGGAGGAGACTGTTTACTGGCCTGTGCTTTGCTGGGACTATATAGTGCCTGTGTTTTCTAAAAGCAGAGTCCAGGGAATGAGGAGAGTGATTTAAGCTCTGCCTGTAAGTTGTGCTTATGATTAGAAATCCCGTAACCTTCTGGAGCACGAAACCTTTGGAAAACTCCCTTCAAAAGATAGGCTGCCTTTTAGATAACATCAGAAACCTTGAGTTACTTTGCCCAAAGAGCAAGCAAGTGGCAAAGAATAAAAATCCAGAAACCTTCCCAACTTCCTGTAGATCGGAAACAACACGGGACTGTGGGTTTTATTGCCTTTATTGCGCTGGCCTTGAGGAACCATTGTACAGTGGCCAGCTGCCTGGGAAAGATAAGTGGAATCTTTCCTGTTCCACAGAACGGTCTACAAGAAAGCAAGAGGGTAGCTTTCTCCATTGAGATAAGCCATGTCCCCAGACCTATAATAACCCTGTTTATTAAGCGTGATGCAGGGTGTTCAGATGGAACATCATCCAGACCTGGCAATTGTACCACTGTTTCTTGTCCCTCCAAACGTCCAGTGTTCTAAAGCTACGTTGCCCTAGATAGGCACAAACAGCCACGGCTCCAGTGGCAGAACACTTGCTTTGCATCCAGAACGTTCCCGGTTCAAGCCTTAGAGCTTCCATCCTGGCCTTGCAAAGATTCACCCCTCAAGCCCCAGAGAGCTGCTGCCAGCCAGATTTGACCCCACTGGACTTGATGGGCCAAGGGTCTGACTCTGTTATCGAGGAGCTTCTCAGTGTTCCTCTGAAACGTGTTTGCGGTCCAGTTCAGACTGATTTTGGTGTCGTTTCCTCCCCCCCCAAGCAGGAACACAGTTGGGTAGGTTTCCTAGTTGGGAAGAATTTTTGGAACCCTTCCAGTTCTTGGTCCTTTTCCCTTTCCAGGTGAGATGAGAAAAAGACTCTTCTCGTCCCAGGTTGTTCCCTTTTACCTTTCTCAGAGATACACCTTATTATACCCATACTGCTGTTAAGGAGTGCTGTGAGCTCAGTGCGTGAGGCTTGTTTGGGGAGCGAGCTTCTGAGCACAGTCACTCCCCAGAAATGTGTATCTGTGTGAGAGAGAAGAGGAAGGAACGGAAAAAAGGGGTGCCCCATTTCATTAGGGGGTGGAATCTTATCAGGAGCACATCGCTGGCCAGCACCGTAGGCCAGTCGTTTAGATGAGAAGGGAGGGAGGACTCCAAAGCCTGTTTTACTGCCTCTTCCTCTGCAGAGTGGCTCCTTAGAGAACTGCAAATGAGCACAGAGATTTAAAGGGCAGCCTACAGTTGTTGTGGTGTTGTAGATCACAAGCTGTGTGATTCCTCTTCTGTCAGATTGTTCCACACACGGGAGTCGCTCCAACGTCAGCAAACAGAGAAAAAAGGGAATGTGCTCAGCATCAGAGGGTCCAGCAACCTGCTGCAAACAGGTGTCGAGGTCTTAGGAACCTGCTGTCAGAATGTGGGGTTTCATGAGTGTTTGCTGCCATAGCTGGCTGGGAAGTTTAACCCTGTGTATCATAGACTAAAGAAAGACAGCTGATTTGTCTTCCTGCATGTGTGTCCTAACCTTTTTTTTTTCCTCCTCTGTCTTCCAGGGATAATTCAAGCTTCCGAAATACCAAGATCGCCCTGTGAGGCGGAGGTGGGGGGTGCAGCACTCCTCTTTCTCCTCCGTCTGTCCAGGAAGGGGGGGGAAGGGATTCTCCTTGCGTGCCCTACACGCCTTCCCTTCCGAAAAGGCGTGCCGCATTCCCTGGACCCTTGATCCCTCTTCCCCCGATGGATGGTTTTTAACACCTGCATCAAAGATGGACTTTCTGGGACCCAAAACGAGACGGCCAGCTTCAGCCCAGGGGTTTTTCAGTATTAACGAACAGCTGTGTAGCAGAGGTGGGGGACGGCCTGGTAATCGAGCAGCGCCCTCTTTTCACCCCCCGCCAATAAACGATTAGGCCTCTGTTTCCCCATTGTGTTTTCTGTCTCTAAATACTGAAGAGAGTTACCTGCTTGGAAAACTTTGGGATAAGGGGAATTATCCATGACCATGACCTTCAGCACAAGCACCAATCATGAAAGCATTTCCTGAGTTGATAAATTGGTCCAGCGAGATTGCTGGGGTGGGGTGGGGGTTGGCTTAGGTTGGGTACACCATACCAGTCATGGAGAGGGGAATTATACCATGACCTTCAGCACAAGCACCAATCATGAAAGCATTTCCTGAGTTGATAAATTGGTCCAGCGAGATTGCTGGGGTGGGGTGGGGGTTGGCTTAGGTTGGGTACACCACACCATTCCAGACTAGGTAGAGGCGTGCTATATTTCAGCCCGAGTCTTTCAGGGACGTGGTGGCGCTGTGGGTTAAACCGCAGAAGCCTCTGTTCTGCAAGGTCAGAAGACCAGCAGTCGTAAGATCGAATCCACGTGACGGAAGGAGCTCCTGTTGCTTGTCCCAGCTCCTGCTAACCTAGCAGTTTGAAAGCATGTAAAGATGCGAGTAGATAAATAGGT